CCCCAAAACCCCAAAACCCCAAAACCCCTGTAGTTAATATTTATAGGAGAGAGATTGATTTGAAATTTAATTCATTAAATTAATAAATATTAGTTAGAGTCATTATTAATAACTATCAACTTCAATTCTATTTAGAAAATTTAGCCTTGTTGATTCTAGAATTAGAATAGAGCATCTAGCTTACTTGATCAGTTTTCTACTATTACATTGAAAGGGGCTACTATCTCTGTTAATTCATAATGCTGTAAACGCCACCGACATTCGATCTGAAATTGCTGAACTGCTCCATCTACATCATATTGTTATTACTCATAGCAACTCTTTCAAGTCTGTTGTCCCAAGCTTTAGCAGCCACTTAGGCTTATTTGTAATCACCCTGCCTTGCCAACTTTGAACTTTGCTAAATAGCATTTAGTCCTAAGATCTCAAAGTTAGCGTTCTTTTCAAGCTCTTATTTATCGTTAGAGATCTCAGTTTAGCAGCTGATAACTCTTACACATCTAGCACCATCTAATGCTGTGAAATAGATCTAGGCTTAAAATGGTAGCCTATTAAGCTAAGTCAAATCCAAGTCTTAGATTTTTATTAGTTCTTTAATTCCTTTAACTTTATACTCAAATGTGACATCTGTATCTTCATTGACGTTTCCAAACTCCTTCGTCAAAACAGTCTTATTGCAACTAAGATTTTAATCGATTTCGTTTCTAAATTCTAGTCCTTTGTGGAGTTTTACTTTAAGCTCAACTTTTGTTGCCAATACTGACTTAGCTAAAAAATCTTAGAAATTAGATCTGAGCTCCATAGGGTCCACTCTCTCAATTTGACCACCAGTAATCTCAGAAACGGGAGTAATAGCATCAATTTAGCACTCTTATCCTATAATTGTAACTATATGTACAGTCACTCCTTTGTCCTTAGCATATTCTCCAATTTTATAGTAGAATTAATTTGCAGCCAATTAATTGTGAGTATTAAGTGCACCAAGACCAATATTTGCCTAACCATCAGTGCAGACAATAACTTAGGATCCTGGAGATCCTTCTCCTGCAATTGCAATAGAGGCTAGAATAGCTGGCCCTAATGCAGTGCTACCTTCAGTTTAAAGAGCAGCAATCTTTTAGGATAATGAATCTTTGCATTACGAAATTGAATTAGAAAATTAGGTTGCAGCACATGCAACACCTGTCTTGACAATAAAATCATATTCTTGAAGTTATGCGTTGCCAAAATATTCAGTGCCTCTAACACCGTCTCCAATAATGGCAATTCTATCACTGAAGGTGACTAGTCCTACCTTTCTGTCAGGATGCTGCACGGCCATTTCCCTTATCTATCCAATAATTGAATCCTTCACACAATCCAATCTTGTCTTATCTCTCTTTTAGACTTCTCTACTTATAGAAATTTTGCCTGATGATGAAGCTCTGTAGCTCATACTTCCAGAGATATCCATACAGTAAACAACAGATATGTCGCTCTTAGACTGATCTTTAGTTGAATCTTGTTTCTTCTCTTCTTCTTTGTATGGAGCAGCTTCCAAGATGTAGTTTACAGTATCACTCTTAGGAATCTCACCCTATTCAATATCAACTTTATTTTTATGGAAGCAGAATTCACAAGTCCAAAACTATTGGGAGCTTTCCTCAAGGATGGTGCTAAATTTATTGAAGATACCTTTGCAGCTGTCACAATAAAGTGGATCTCCTGTAGCAATCTCAGCATCCTTCTTAAGGCAATCCATTGAAAGAGAGAATACATTAGTATCTATTTCCTGCTTGTATCTCTTGCCTGATGGTTAAATAGGATTCATGTTATTAGACATTTGCAACTGTTGGATTCCTGCAAAGTTTTGAGGTTGCTATTGCTGAACAGCAATGAAATTGTTACTGAATGCATTTTATGGTTGTATACCAATGTTATTCATCAGCATATTCTAATTCAAATTCATGGCATTATTGTTCAATATATTGCTATTTGAGTTATTGTTACTGTTTTTATTTCCAAAGAGATTTTAGACAGGCTAGACAAGGTTTTAGAAAAATCCTTTAGCTTTACTTTATTCCTATTTAGATTGTGGCAACATTTACTATTGAGGCTAACTGCTTAACTTTTATCTTTTGTTGCTTGAGGCAATGCCTGTCATTGATTTTTGAATTTAATTCTAAGGCTGAATCATTTACTGCTATTTTTATTGCTAAAATTAGGGTATGATTTAAGCTTGATTCATTTGATACATAGGAAATTACTGTTGCTAAAACTAGGGCATAATGTTTTATGGCTAAATCTGTTATTAAGCTTGCATTTAGAATTGCATTTATTGCTGTGGTTGTCTACCAGCTGCTATATCATCTCCTAGATCATCTGAATCCACTTCTTCTTGTGATAGATCCTCTTCAGAAATGTTTGCCAAAAGATCTTCTTGATGCTTAACTTCTTCCTCAGATTTCATGGCTTTATCTTAAGAATTATCTTCCTTGAATTACTTCTCAGGCTAACTTTGCATTTAGCTTCTTGCCTTAGTATATTTTTCCATAAATCTCTTAGAAATATAAGATTTTTCACTTGCTCTCTTCATTTTATCTTAAGTTAGATATGTACTTGTTAAGATTAATTAATTGAATTACTTCAAGTTTAATATCCATTTATAGCACTAATTTTGATTAACTTTTAGTCAGGTAATAATATATATGAATTCCAATATTAGCAATTTGTCAGAAATATATTTTCATTTTTTAAATTAGTTCAATATTCCCGATAATCAATTAATCTGGCCAATCGGGGTTTTGGGGTTTTGGGGTTTTGGGG